GGGGTAATTTTGCAGTTTATTGTACTCAATGCGTAGCAAATATCTTACGCAGATGGCTTGAGCAACATTTATGTCATGTATTGCAGTTGTTCGGAGTATTTATTTCCAAGTGGAGTGTGTTTGAAAGTCTGCATTTCTGGGCTAGAAAAAGTTTTAAATGAGAATAAGTATTTTCACTTCTGTAAGCAGATGGTGAGGGATAGTACCAGTGGCCTACTATGAATTGCAGCATATAAGTAGCATTTATTCAAGTAACATTTATTCAAGTCAATTTTTTAGTACATTTATATTATAGGCGCACTATGTTGGCTGCAGTTTTCCATTTCCATGGACAGAAGCAGGTAATGGACTCGTCCACGAGAAAAGTTACATGACGCACCTTTTAATTGATTAAAATGGATGTTGAGCAAAATTTTAAGCCTTTTAATACACATACACTTACTGAATGTTGATTGCACTCCCTGGCTGCTGTTTTAGCTGAGTTGGCATGCAGTGTGCATATGAGGAAAGAACAAGAAGAAAAGAGTGCTGGTTTGAATTTGCTGTCCAGATTTCACTTCTGGAACTAGTTTGCAACACAAAACACTTTTGTAGTCCTTGTTGAGCAATCTTTGACTCCAATTTATTGTGAAAGGAAACTAAGTTTGCCTTGTAAAATATGCAGTAAGAGAGCGTTTCTAACCAAATGTTTGTCAAAGTTTTCATAGCTGTTTCTTAGTAGATCTTTAACATTATTGTTCATATATGGGTGGGAACTTGTCCAATACTGTTAGCCAATAAGAACTCTGGATGGGACACCACCTCTACAGCCTGACTGACTATTCTTCTAAACTAACTAAAAGTAAATGTTAAACAAAAGGGTCTTGATGATCCTGTTGGCTATCCATATTTGTTGTTGGTCAGAGTGAAACCTAACCTTGGCGTACGGTGTGACCTCATCAGTTTCCACTCTGAAAAAGGAGAAGTCTTTGAGTCGTGAAGCTGGACCTGTCATTTCTCAACTCTGTCCAACAGGGCTTTACAGAGTTTCCATGAGTTTGTGCGTAAATAGGCCTGACAAAAGCCCAGAGCTGGCATTTCTCCTCTCACCACACAGTAGTCCATTCTGCCCATGATGCCAATTAAGAGTTTTTTATATGTACCTACCTTACATAACCTTTTGCTTTTTGGCAGTCAAACATTTATTGTTTCAGCTATGTGTTTTCAATAAGGTGCTCTATCCTAAAAATATATCTGTGTGCATTTATCTTAACAATAATAATTTGCAGATATTCATGCTAGTACCACCTGACTGCCCTTCCCATTTATCTTGCTTGACTTGTTTAGAATGTTCTTAAGCATAAACACAGTTGACTAATCTGCTGTTCAACTCACCCTATGACATTTTATCACTATACCAAATGAATGGGGAAGTAAGATGGATAATTTAGTCTTGTTCTCTTGATTATTGCATTTTATTTTTGATGTGCATTTGCTATTTAAGAAAAATCTGATTGAGGTAGGAAAAGGAGCTTGGTGTTTATTTTGACAGTTGTGTGCAGAATTCTTTGGACATACCTCATACTCTTGTTCAGCCTGTAAAAGCTTTCATCACACAGAGCCTCTTTGTAAAGGCCTATTCACTTCTGTATGTTTATGTTAAGGGCATATGAATCTTTACACTTTTACCACAGTTTCTCTGGCCTCTCAGTACAATTGATTTTGGACGTTGACTGAAGTTGCAAATCTTTTATATATTCTGATTGTCTGTCCAAACGGATGTGATGTTTTCTCTGTGTTCTCTGCCTACTGTATTGATGCAAGCTAATAAAACTAAAGGTTGTGATGAGTCTCATATGTTTCTAGTGTAATATGTTAACATTCCTGGAATTCTCCTCATTTAAATTATGTTTTCCTTCAAGGTCATAAAATGCTGTATGAAAACATTAAGCTTTGTTTTGCAACAGAATCAAATGAGTCATTCATCGCAGCTTGCCAACCACTACTGTTGTTGTTGTTTTCAGTTGTTATAAACTGAGTGCTATGGAATTATAAAACACGTATTTCTTTGTTATTTTATTAATGATTGTTTAAAGATCATAACACAGAGTGAAGTGACCTCTGACGCTCTAAGTTTAGCCCAGGTATCATCTCTATTCAACAGCTGTCCCAGACACAGAGGTCACTATCCTCATTGTACCCAGAGATGATAAGCTTCCTTCGTAAAAAGGTCCTCATGATTTATTTTAAGTCATTATGTTTGATGTAAGTCATTCAATGCAAGACTCTTTACTTTGGGAGTGACAGTTATTTTGCAATTAAATTATATAAAGTGAGGTTCATCGCCATTTATTAATAGAGTTCAGTGGAGGCTACAGCATATCACAGTCTTGTTGAGACTGACACAAAACAAACAAACGATGGAGTTATTAACTGTTGTATAATATACTTGTATTACTGCCAATTAAACTTCATGTAATTCAATATAGCCATTCTGCTGCCATCATGACCCTTGCCTTGGCTAAAAGTACTTGAAGTGGTTTGAACTTGATATCAGAATGGGCACACGTGTGTGGGTCCCACACTCCTCCTGCATAAAGCACTAGGTCTTTAGAGTGGCCCGGTGCCAGTCTGGATGAGTTGGTGGTGACAAATCTATTCTGGGACTGGTAGAGGTTTCAAAGCTTGGAGCAGAAGTGGACATCTATTCATAAGACCAATATAGACATCTTTACTGCCCTTTATCTGCTTCAGTCAATCAGATGGGGCTTCCTTTTGAGGTGAGCTGCAGAGTATATCAATTTACTGTATATAGTCCTAGCTACTTCAAAAGACACAGGAATGACTTGGAAAAACATTAATATCCATTCTACAATTCTCATTTTATATCTGAAGACTGTTATCCATTGATACACCAGAGTGTAACAAACAGGAGGCTATTGGAATGGTCATATTTGATCAACAGCTGAAGTGTCTGTTTTGGCTCAGTGCCAAAGCAGAGGGCACTGAGTGGGGTTTGAAGTTCACTAAACACTTTGTCTATAAACAGTACATGAAATCACACTAGTGGTTTGCCCCTGAAGCAAACAAACAACGTGGCTGCAAAAATTGAGATTCCAGTTTATCTGGGGATTAGGCAGTAATGTAGCCTGCAGACATCTCCTAGTAAAAAATAATCTACTGGTAAATAATCTGCTGTATGAAAAATGCTTTTAATTAACATCATTAATAGTGTACCAAACCAATGTTGCGTTCATTATAATTGCTTAATTATGGCTAATTATTTCCTCTACTGATTTAGAGCATCAATTTTCTGATTATTCACATGAAGTAGTACTTCCTCAGTAACATACGTGATCATATTAATTAAGCAATAATCAAAACAGAAAAACAACTCAAACTGAAGTTGGTCTGGATTAAACCGTGACTGAACTTGGGCATTCAAACTGACTGGATTAAACCACACTAGTTTAGGACAAAACCAAGACTAAATTCAAACAGGTCTAGGAATTGACTGTTGCCTACTGTTGTCTACAAAAGCATAATCTCCAGGACTTTTCTCACACTGTGGTCCAGCTGCCCAGCCTGTGATTTATGCTGCTCCACCAGAGCTCTGTAAACGGATATGAGATCTTGCTCTCTCTCCTCTGACTCACTTCATTTGCCTGTTGCCATAGTGAATAAAGTATAAACAGTTCTGCGCTGGCGTTTGGAAGTGCAGCCATGTGGTTTGAAACTGCAGCAGCTGAAAAGCGACACTTACAACAGCACTGCCCATTCATTAGTATAATTTTGAAGCTAGATTGTATTCCATTTTCATGGCAGCCCAGTGTTTTACAAAAATTATAATTTTCATGTCATGATTTTCAATAAATTTATGTATTTTGTCATGTCGTATTGTGTGACATAAAAAAAAAAATCCTAAGATGTATAGTACTGTATACACTGTCACATTACTAAAATTAGACTTGAGAATGTGCCTTAGCTCAATATAGAGTCTTTTGAAAATTAAAAAAATATTGTTATTGTGATGTACTTTAGCAGTAGTCTCTGGCCCTGCTGGACAGTGGTCTGAGTAGGCAGCCCTCATTGACACAGAGAGACAGATGTACGGAAGAGAGGTGATCTAGGGATAGAAATCTGATATCATGTTTCTGGGAGTGCTGTTGAAAAGGTTAGCTATAATGCACAGTTCTTTATATAGTTTGTGCAAAGGAGATTGTCAGCTAAATCAGGTGATCTGAAACTGCACTGTACAACTTTAGACTGTCTTACAACCTGTTGCATCAGTTACAAACCAAGTGAAGGTATTTTTTGCTTGGTAACCCTACACAACAAACATGCATAAGAATAGAGCAGACCTTTAAATAGGCAATTAAAGTAGAAATAGTCATATCCTAATCCCAGAAAGTCCATATGTATGCATTGATTTTGATATTTGTAGTCTCACTTGTCATTATTATACACAATCCACTGTTATGCGATCTGACCACTCCCTGTGTGTAGAAAGAGAGCTTCCCAGTGATATCTGATCAGGAAATGTGTAAAACTAGACACCTGTCGCTTGATAGCCACTTGGTCCCCATGCAGGTTATAACTCTAACTTTATAAGTTTCCATGCTGGTGACTAACTTATAAAGTCATGCTCATGTGTTTGCCTCTTTTGTATATGTGGATCAAGGGTGTGTTATAGTTCAGGCTGTGTGTACATTACATTGGAGGCGTGTGCACTTGTGGGCGTTTCCCTTCAAAGTCACAGAGGACTGAACATGTGCTCTAACACATTTTAAATTTTGTTTTCTCATATTTTTTTTTAGTTTGAGTTTATTATAGGACAAAGGTTTCTTTATTGCTTTCTTGTTCATGTTCATGTTACTATTTAAAAGTATAGTCTTATTTTCCATGCCAGTCCTTTGCTAAGCAATGGTAGGGGAGGAGCCAGTGGAGAAGTGTGTCTCACTCTCCCTCCTCCTCACACACTCTCACACTCCCTCTCTTCCATTCTGTCATTGCCATTCGGCAGTACACAGACTGTTAATTCTGTCTTACTCAGTGTAGTAGGGCAGCACACATTTTAACTTTTTAGAATAAGGGATATACTTTTTTGTATGGGTTTCAAAGGAAGAAGAGTAGAACAACAGCACAACCTGGAGTATTCTTTCTTTAATTAGATTGGGAGACACGTGACAGCCGGTTTTGCCACTGGATTCCACTGGATCACAAGTGAGGTTGTCTGTTCTGTTTCTTCCTTTTGATGCTGCACATTTTTGTCTTAGATTGAACAACTGAATTAACGATCATGGTTGCTGGAATGCTAATGCCCTTAAGGGACCTAAGGGCCATTTATGAGGTCTTGTTTCGTAATGGCGTCATGGTTGCAAAGAAAGACAAGCGACCTCAGGTAAAGCATCCGGAGATTCAAGGTGTAAGTAATCTCCAAGTAATCCGTGCAATGGGTTCTCTCAAATCCAGAGGCTTTGTCAAGGAAACATTTGCATGGCGCCATTTCTATTGGTATTTAACAAATGAGGGCATTGTTTACCTGCGTGATTTTCTTAAGCTTCCCCCTGAAATTGTCCCTGCATCCCTACAAAGAGTTCGAAAGCCAACCTCAACTTTCGCTTTTGCCCAAAGAGCTGCACGGGTCCAAACTGTAGAAGGTCCAACTTCTTATGTTCCTAAACCTGGACGCAGTGTAGATGCAGAAAGCAAAGATGCCCTAGCTGAACGTCAAGTCTATCGCAGAAGAGTGATGGAGTCAGCAGAAAGCCGTGGCTACTTTGATAAGACACCGAGATTCAGAGGACGCCCAATTGGTGCTGAAGCCAAACCATCACGAGAAATAGTAGACAATAGTCAGTCTTTGTTCACAAATGGATTCAACATTGAGGAAAGCAGGTTTGCAAAAGTCTTCCAGCAGCAGCCAAGTGCAAGCGGAGACAGGCCACGTGAGAGAATGATTGTTCAGACAGAGAAAGCTGTGAGTTCTGCCCAGTTTAACAACAGCATTGCATCACAGGATGTATCCAAGTCTGGAGTGCCATCAGTAAGCTCCCTACCATTAACCGTAGCTGCAGCTTCAGGTGCCGTAGCATTAAAGGTTCTAGTTGAAGCCTCCCCTCCCAAAACAAATACAGATAAGCCAATGAAGACCACTGAAGAGAAGGCATGGAGGAAAATGAATGAGCAGGGTACTAGAAGTTTTGAGACACATGTCCAAATGGAGAGTAGAAATGCAGTTAGAGCAATGGAGCAAGATATGTCTATAGAAGTTAAAGCTCCTGCACAGTCTTCAATAAATACAGTCATGGGTAAAGCACCCGCTCAGAAAGCCATCACCAAACCTGCCATTAGAGAGGCTGGCATAGCAACTGAAACTACTAGCCTTTGGACAAAATCTGCTGCAGATAAAACAACAATTGAATCCAAAATGACTGAAAGGACCACCAAAATGTTAGAAGAAGTGACTGACAGTGAGGCAAGTAAATCTGGTATGTGTACTTATGGAGTTCAAATACCTCAAAAGGCCAAAGGTGCTGAAGCAGAGCAAACTGATACAGTAGCTGGTTCTGCAACTTGTGATGTTCCAACAGTAGATAGTAATTTAGGGACTATTGCCCCTGTGAAAATGTCCAAACCAGTGCAGGGAGATGGAGTGATCACAGAACTGACCAAAGTGGAATCAGTAGAACATGCAGTCCAGGCAGATGAGAAATCCCCGGGGGTGATTGTTAAACCCACTGAACAGGAATGTTGTGTTATAACAGTCAAACCTGTAGCTGAGACAAGCTCTAAATCAAAGAAAAAAAAGAAAAATGAGAAATCTACAAGTCCAACTTCTGAACTCCCCCATGATATGAGTGTTCTGCAAAAGAAAATCTGTAAAGAGGGGCCCGTTGAAGAGAAAGATATGACGCAATTTTCAACTGGCATCAAGCCACTGAATCAACAACATGGAGGTAGACGTGACACTGATAAAGAACAAATAAAAAGTGTTTCTGTAAAGTCTGGTGGAAAGTCAACCAAAGATCAATTAAAAGAAACAGTTCCTCATACCTCTGCAGTAACTGAAGATGGGGAAATGATAAAAGATGTACCAGGAAGTTTGAATCAAAAAACCCAGACACCACCTGTAAACCAAACAATCTCATATCAAACTAAAACAGAAACTATTATTGATCAAACATCAGTGGTTCTAGTCCATGATGAAATTAGTTCAAGTGAAGCTAACCAGGAGTCTGCAGTGAGCTCTAAAGTTAAAAGGAAGAAGAAGAAAGCAACTGATGAATTACCAACCAATTCAGACAATAAAGCAGAAACAAAACAAGCTGCTATTCCTGTATTATCTGCACCTAAATGTGAAAATAAAGATAAGTCTGATAAGGGAGAGATAGATCAAGCTGAAACATTGAAAATAAAAGAAACTAGTGACAAAATTATTCAAGAGGTGCTTAAGAAGAGTGTGTCTGGATCTGAGAGCTCAGTAGTGCCACCAGTGGAGCCTAAGGGGATGACACAAGTGAAGCAGGAGAAAACAGTGACAGTTGAGAAAGTAACTAAAGTGCATGAAGAGCAAACTACTGCACTGCCAGAAACGCAGGAACCAGTTTCAATTAAGTCTTTGGAGATGTCTATTCCCCAAAAGGCTGAAACTGAAAAGGTAATTCCTCCTGTCATCGAAGAACAAACACCAGAGGCTCTTAAACTACATGACCCCACTCCTCAAAGTGATTCTCAGCAGGAGGCCGCAGGGAGGTCTAAATCAAAAAGAAAGAAGAAGTTGTCAAAAGACACAAGTCCAGAAATTACGGTAGATACAAAACAAGAAGATTCAACTGAGCAGCAAGAAATTTCTGATGAAAATGTAATTGTAACAGAAAAAATTACAGTTAGCAAAACCATCAATGTGACTGCCAGTTCCGAAGAAAAGACAGATTTTAAATATGCTGATATGGAGCCAGAAAAGGATGAAATAATTGAGAAAACAATTACAGAGAAGATAGTAACTCAAGTTAAAGTCGTACAAGAAAGTGAAATAACTGAAATAAAAACTGAAGAGCCACCACTGGAAAATGTCACTATAGAAACAGCAAATTTAGATGTAGTTAAACCTGGGAAGAGAAAACACCCAAGAAAAGACAGAAGAAATGAACGAAAGATAATTCTCTATTCACCATCTGATGAGATGGATCAGGTGAAAACTCAGACAACTTCTGTAGAAATATCAGGCTCCCCCCAAGAAAGAATTTCTCCAAGCTCTGATGTAACCGGCACTGACAAGATAGATACTGACATGGTTCATGACAGGAAAGAAAATGGTGAAAAACAAGAGCAGCATATCCAAAAAACTGAACATAAACTAGAAATTGTGAAGAAAAAAACTCAGGACCTGGTCAAAGATGAGATATCAGTGGAAAAAACAGTCATTGTTGAAAGTGATGTGCCTTCTACTGTCACCCTTGATGAAGGGGCCATGTCTAAAACGGACAGTATAAAACCGGATGAAAAAGATGAAATGGGAATTGCACAAATGAATATTGTTACTAACACAATTACAGAAATTGCTTCTGTGACTGCTGCCAAACCTCAAGATGAGCCTCCACTTGCACTTGAAACAAAAGAAAAAATAACAGAAAGCCAAATCAGTGTCAATGAGCCCAAACACACAACAGATTCTGAAGATGTAAATGTTGAGATTATAGAAGAAACTACAAAACCAGAAATTAAAACTCCTGTGACAACATCTCAAAAACTAATTGAGCCCTTAATGGAAAAGACAATAAATGTTCAAACAACTAATAAAGAAGAAAAAACATCACAAGAAGTTATGAAAGACAATGCAAATATAAGTCCAGCTGTCGCTACATTACTGCCAGCAGATAAAGTCAAACATCAAGTGAAACATGTAACTTTCAAAGAGGAAATAAAGACCATTTACGGTGTTAGTGATGGAAAGCTGACTACAGTAGAGAGCTCCACAGTGCAACCAGGGGATTCTAATGATACAGCACCTGTTGACAACAAAATTACAGTCAGCACAACCAGCCAGGGACCAAGCAGTGCCAAAGAGGAGGGAGCGGATAAGACTGAAATAGTAACAGTTCAGAAAATCACTGAAGATGTAGCTGTGCAAGACCAATTAGTTTCTCCACTAGAAACACTGGACCAAGGTCAAGATGGGACCACAGAAGCAAAAAATGATGAAAATGGGATTTCTGTAAATAAAAAAGTTAGTGATAATATAGAAGTAACACATGAAGTAGATGACAGTGTCTTTGAGTCAAGCTCCAAATCAAAGAAAAAGAAGAAGAAAGCAGCCAGTGGGACGTCAAAAGACACTGGTCCAGAAAATAAGCAAAATACAGAGAGTGATATTCAGCAAACTGGCATTATTATTAGCAGAACCAACCAAGAGCCTATTGAAACCAAAACAACAGAAGTTACTCAAGAGAAAACAGTGACACTCCAAAACACTAACATTGTAATTGATAAAAACATGCCCGAGTTGAAGAGCTTGCCAAATAATCAAGAACAAGTTTCTGTTCTGTCTACAGCAAAGATTCCTATTGCACAACAGGGTGAGAAGGTAATTCCTCCTGTCGTCAAAGAAATAACCCCAGAGGCTCTTAAAGTGACAGCACATGAATCCCAACTGGAGGGCCCCGTGAGCTCTAAACCCAAAAGAAAAAAGACGAAATCTGAGAGTGAGCTGCCTGCGGACAGTTCAGAAAATATTGAGAATATTGTCATTCCTGTTCAATCTGTTCCAATGAACACTAACAATGAGCAAATCAAACAATCTGAAACAATTAAGACTATAGACACTAATGAGAAACCAGTCAAAGACATCTTGCTCAAAGTCCTGCCTCAAGTTGAATCTAAGCAAACTACTTCTGTGGTAGAGACTGTTACTGTCTCCAAAACCAGCCAAGAGCCAACCAGCCCCAAAGAGAAAGTCATTACTAAAATTACACATACACAGCCTGAGAACTCTGTAGCTGAACTGAAATCTGAGACTGTTCAAAAGATAGCTAAAGTTGAAATTATACAAGAAGGCCTGTTGCCTGAATTAAAAAGCTCTGATGGGCAGTTAGACACTAAAGAACCAGTAACAGATGCTGTAGAAGAAGTAAATATAACAGTCAAAGAAACTAAATCTAAAAAGAAGAAGAAGAAATCTTTGAGTGAGTCCCCTGAAAACACTAGTCCTGAAAGAGATGAGACTAAAACTGGCAAAGAAACTACACCGACTATAACTGAAATGTCAACAGAAATGATAGATGACATCGAAAATACTCATTCAATTTGTCCCAGCTCAACTCTACCCCACAATGAGCCTAAGGACAGTATAAATACAGCAGATACGATTAGTGTCAGCAAATCCAGCCAGGAGCCAGGGGAAGAGAAAATTATGACAGGGAAAATATCTCAAGTTGAAATCAAACAAGAAATGTATGAAATTAAGAGCTTGCCAATAACTGAGGAAGCACAAGCTGATCAAGTACATCCTCCAGCTAAAGAAATGTATCCAGAGGCTCTTAAAGTGACAGTACATGATTCCAACCCTGCAGTTGCAAGTGAATCTCACCAGGAGGCACCAATGAGCTCTAAATCAAGGAGAAAGAAGAAGAAATCGGAGAGTGAAATGCCAAAAGACACCAGTCCAGAAAATAAAGCAGAGGCCAAACATGAACCTGCCTCAAAGATAACAGTTGGGAAAACTCCCATTTCTGTTTTATCTACTCCATCTGACACTGATAAGAAGCAAGTCAATCAATCTGAAATACTGGACAAGAGAGAAACAGATGATAAGCCAATTAAAGAAATCATTAAACAGAATGAGACGGCCTCTAAGACATCAGTAGAAATCCATCCTTTAGTCACTACAAGTGTAACAGAGGAAATTAATGTCTGCAAAGCTAGACAAGAACCCACCAGCCCCAGAGAGAATACGGATACTAATACAGAAATAGCACAAATTGAGATAAAGAAGACTGAATTAAAAACAATGAGAGTTCAGAAAATCACTGAAGTTGAACTCATAGAAGAAAGTCCTGATTTACAGCTAGATACTGAACAGCCAGTTACAGATGTATCTACTGTAGAGACGTCAATTACAAAGCAGACAGAAGAGGTCATCATTCCTGCCAGAGAAATAAAATCAAAAAGAAAGAAGAAGAAATCTGAGAGTGAGATGCCAAAAGATACCAGTCCAGAGCATAAAGCAGAGGCCAAACATGAACCTGCCCTACAGATAACAGTTGGGAAAACTGCCATTGCTGTTTTATCTACTCCATCTGGCACTGATAAGAAGGAAGTCAGTCAATCTGAAACACTGGACAAGTCAGAAAGGGATGATAAGCCAATTAAAGAAATCATTAAACAGAATGAGAGCTCAGCAGCACCCCAAGTGGATCCTTTAGTTACTACAAGTGTTACAGAGGAAATTACTGTCTTTAAAACTACAAAAGAACCCACCAGCCCCAGTGAGAAGACATTTACAAACACAGAAATAGCACAAATAGAGCTAAAGAAGACTGAATTAAAAACAGTGACCGTTCAGAAAATTACTAAAGTTGAATTCATAGAAGAAAGCCCTGGTTCACAACGAGACACTCAAGGGCCAGTAACAGATGTATCAACTATAGAGACATCAGTTACAAAGCAGACAGAAGAAGTCATCATTCCTGCCAAAGGAACAAAATCTAAAAGGAAGAAGAAATCTGTGACTGAGTTGCTTGGAGACAGCAGCCTGGAAATCAAACCCACAGCAGAAGAGACCCACACTGAGGGGAAAACTATTACTTCAACTGCTGTTCCTCTCTCATCTCCAACTGCTGGAGAGCCAAAGACAGAAAAGATGACAAAGAGTGAGTCAGTTTGTCCTAGCTCAACAGCACCTCCAGTGGAGCCTTTACAAGATGCACAAAATATTAGTGTAAGCAAAACTGACAAGCCAGACAGTCCTAAAGATACATTTGAAAATGTTGTGATAGAGAAAATAGTGACTGTTAAGCAAATAACTCAAGATGAACATATTGAAAAAGAATTACAACTACCAGTAATTGTTACACAACCTGAAACTCCAAAAATAATGAAGACTGAATCAGTAGTGAAAATGACAGACAAACAGCAGCCCTCTGGCAGTAGACATGATGAATTAACTGAAAAAGCTCAAGTTGAAGCTAAAAAACATGCTACAACAAGTAAGAAAAAGAAGTCTCCAGGTGACAAACAATCTAGTGTAGAGGTCATAGTAGATGTGAAAGAAGAACATATAAAAGATGTTCATGTTGAAGAGATAACAAATATTAAATCAACTAAAACTGAAATCTCCCAAGAATGTCCGGTCACACTGCCAGAAACAACAGAATTCGTAAAGCCTACCCCAGACCCCACTGAAACTTTAAATGTGACTGCTCCTGTCAAAAAGGTTGAAAAATCATTGGAGGGTTCAGAAGTCATGACCCAAGAGCCTGTTACTGAGACTGGAGGAGACATGACCGGACCCAGCTCCAAATCCAAAAGAAAGAAGAAGAAATCTCCAACTACAGAACACCCACCAGATATTAGGAAAGAAAACATTACAGGCATCCCCTCTCAGGACAAAAATAAACTTCAAACAAATGGTGATTCTACAGAGAAAAGGTCACCTGGGGGTAAACCCAGCCATGACAAAGGGCAAATAATTGAGATTTCAAAAGAGACTAGTGATAGACAAGTCAAGGAAATATCTGCACAAAAAACAGAGGAGCTTGCTAATCTTCCACAAAAGACTGAGACAGAAAAATCTCCCAGTCCAAAAGAAATCATAAAGCCCCTGTCTGAGAGTGAAACTGTGACAATGCAGAATATAACACAGACTGAGATCACAGAGCAAACTCAAGTGCCTGCTATTGAGCCTAAATCCCCTATAAGCCCTGTTAAAACTACTCTAGAGCCGGGCAAGACTAAGAGGAAAGGTAAAGGGAAAAAGCCTGCAGCAGCCCAGTTATCAGAGACCATAAACACTGAGCCTGCACTGTTGCCGGAAGCAGAAGCTCTGCCAGCAACAGGGGGCACTGAGCCAACCAAGGTTACTGTGACGGATGACCCCATCGTGGCCTTAGAAGTGACAGAAAGCAGTGCTGGTCCAAAGAAGACTGCAGAAAGAATGCACGGTGAGGAAACTGTCCAGGCAGCAGCTGTGCTCCCTGAGGCCCCAGCAGACAAAAGAGAGGTGGGGCCTGCTCTGCCCCGTGCTGAAAAACGTATGCAGAGAGCTCCAAAGGCAAAAACATCCTCCACAGACAAGGGAGAGAGCGGAGAGTTAGCGTCAGAGGCACCAGCGCTAACAGCACAGGCAGCTGCAAGTCAGGCTCGGGACAGCCCCCTCCGCCCGCACCCGGAGCCTCCCAGAGTTGCACAACAGCAGTGGAGCAGACAGGCAGCAGAGCGCAGCACAGAGGAAAGGCACGCCAGTTCAAAGTCATTGCTGCAAACTCAAGAGACGAAGAAGAAGTCGGTAAAGGACACACCCTCTGCCACCACCACACCTGCTGTCTCAGAGATTCACCTTGGAGAACCCACTTACTCTATATTTTGTGAAACTGACGAATCCAACATGAGGAGGAAAATAGTGATAGTGGAGGAGACTGTGGAGGTGAAGCGGATAGTTAGTCCAGAGGCTGGAGCAGGCGGGCAGTCCCCTCCACCACCTGTGACCTGCGAAGAATTGGATGAAGAAGATGAATTAGACTTGGATGTTTTGGAGGAGATCGCCATAGAGAGGTCACTTTTGCAGACAGCACCCCGGCCCTTTTTCCCAGGAGCTGCTGAAGGGGACTGGGACCACTCGCTTGTGGAGCCGGAGGACAAGACTTTTAACTTCGTTGAAGGTTTGTTCACGTCTTTTCAATTTTCTTGCTTAGGGCTGTCACACTTTGCATGTGCATGTGATGGACCAACGTCTTTGTGTTGGATGTGTGGGGAATATTTGACTATGGGTCTATTGTGAATTCTACACAACACTGGCTCTGTGACAATTATAATACATACAGCAGTTGGTATTTGTTGTGATTATGGTGTGCATGGTGCCATTTCATAACAGTTAGCACATACTGACTAGGTTGTCATGTGGGTGCTAGTCTCTGGAAGGATTACTTTTCCTCAGACAGTGAGAAGTCCTGAGATGTGGCTATGATTTAATTACGTCTGTGTAGATGTTATCACTGTCTGTGAGTGTTCAAGAAAATGTCAGTTTTCTCACACTCACCAAGACAGCATTTCCTCTTATTTGAAAATGAAAGTATATGTTCCTCTATTACAACTTGAGTTAGCATTAGTGATTTGCTGTAAATCAAATATGCTCCAAGTTACTCAGTGTTTATTTTGTGCAGATTCTCAAGTGTTATTCAATCCCTTTTTAAAGTGCATGTTGTTTTTGTAAAATCAACAACTCGTGGAGTGTTTGTAATGCAAGAATGTGCAGACCTGTCGCTCTTCCAACAAGGTGGGGCAGTTTTCAGAGATCCAGCCTCGCCTGCTCCCTGCAGACCCAGTTAAAGCCAGACTGACTCAGAGGGGGCGTGGTGCGTTCGGGAGTCTCTTTCCTCCTTTACTATATCAGAATGTTCTCTATACTGGTGCCTCTCCCCTCATCTGCCTAGCACGAGATAGACATGGACTTTGCATTCCTTTGTATAATGGCATGTGTCTTTCCAGAAAGGTGCTCTTGAGCTCATCTGATAACAGTGTGGTGAGATAACCTGTTAAATGAGTTGAAAGAATTGTAGAAAGAAGAAAAATGCATCATGTGTCGTGGCTTGCCCTGCTTAAGTGAAACCGCGCATATAATTGTTGACTCACATTCATGTGACATAAATTTGCAGATGTTGCAAATATTTGCCAAATGCAGATATGCCATGTGATTTTTAGCTTTGTATACTGCATAATAACTTTGTGGTGTTACATTATCCTTTATGGCTTTTAGAAATGATAAGAAAATCCCGGGGCGTTGTCTGTGGTGGGCAGAGAAGTTAGAGTCATTGCTCATGACTGTTGTAGAATGTTTGTTTGGACTCACACGTGACACCGGATCTGGATTTAATTTACCGCCCAATCCCTCTGTTTAATCTGTTATGATCATGAAGAAATCCACTGACATTCACAAATCACATGCATCACACTCAACATATGCAAGTGATTATGCTAAAACGTGTGTGGTATGTATTGTGTTCACTTATATTCACTTCTCATTGACATAAAAGTATTTAAAATATTCTCTTATAAAGTTTGTCTGTCAGTGTTGCCCAGTATTTGCTGACCCACTGCTGACATCTGCTGTCCACTGATGCTAGTTTGTCTTGCCAATTGCCTTTGGTAGAGCTATTATGTAACTATTTAAGTTACATTATAATCCTGTCTGACCTATCCTTATCTACAATGGTGAATATACTTTCATCTTAATAGGTGTGGCTTTTTGAGGTTGCTGCACAGTAGGAAAAAGGAAAAATCTTTTGAAATGATTGTATGGACAAAGTACCTGGTTAGCACAGCCACAGCAGTCATTGTGGGGAAAAACATCTAACCACTGTCCACACATGGCACCAGTGGCACTTAGCCTCAATGACTTTGCAGACATACCAGGGACGTTCACTGTTTTCATCTCCAAAATGATGCCCATTGCATTCTTGTGACTGTTACATGGGCTGCTTCAGTAGACCAGTGTGCCTCTCATTATAGTGACTTATAATCTGTTGCAGTGACTCACACAAACCATTCAAATCACAAAGAATTACGAGTTTGAACATTTCCATCCAGTTGTTCCCTAAAATGTCAGTTTATGAAAGAGCATTTTATAATCTTGCCACATTTTGATGAATATCTGCCTCTCTGCTGGCTGGCATTGATGTCTCATAATATAGTGAATAACCTGTGCAGCCATGCCCTGTTTTTATTGCTGAATCTTCTTGTGAAATCAATTGTAGTATGGATTTGGCTTATCTTGACTGTTACAATGTAACGGCTTGCATTTTTGGAACTACCCAACAAAGACACACCCCAGATAGTTTCAGATATGGAAGAACTTTTTTATTTGTTATTGTGGATAAGTATAAAAAAGTGTGACAAATGAATTCATATTATGATTATTTCCTCCTTTTTTTAAATTTTATTTTACATAACGTTTCTCCTAAGTGAAGAACTTGTGACAGAGATGATTCAGCTTCCCTACACTCTTGCTCAAGCCCAATTGATCCTGTGCCCAGTCTTAAGCAATATTCATCACAAGTTACAGTCGATAAGCCATGTGTCAGGGTGATAAACAGTTTATTTTTTAACCTGAGCTATGAAAAACATGTCTCTTCTCATCAACAAAATGACACTGGATAGCACCATTAGCAGCTGATCTTTTCAATGTAAAAAGTAGTCAAGAGTGTCCTCCATCAAATAACATTTTGGCAAGCTCAATGTTAGGATCAAGTTTAATAGGAGGCTAGGGCAATTAAAGATACTTCATGACAAACGTCTTATGATGGGAATGTGGACTTATGTTTGTGGACTGACTGTCACACACTACATCTGCACTTCTCAGATCAATAACATGTGGAATATATTGAGGGCTTGTCTCAGATAGTTGTGATATTAGTCATTTCCTTTGGTGCAAGAAAGGTCTTATTACAGCGGCTGTGTAAAGCAACAAGCTCAGAACTTGACAAAAGATAAATAAGGGTTTATGGGAGTGTCTTGTTTTCATAGATCAAATTGATTCTGTGTTTTAGTTTTTTTCTATGTAGAAAGTTATGTAGAAAAAGTACTCAAAAATGTATTGGTTGAAGTATTAATATCCTGCCATAAAGGGCCAGAAAGCATTCTCTTTGCAACTGTTCAAGTCGAGTCGAGTGTGATTATTTTTCTTGGGAAGGGTCTGCTACTTGTCACTATGGAGATGTTATTTATTTTGTGTGGAATTGCGTGGAATATTTGCATGGAATATTATAAAGTATGGCATTATATATTAAACATGTCGTTTAATATCTAATACTAATACTAATATTTAATACGTTGAATATCTTACTGTGGAACATTCCAGGCAAAGTAGTACCAAGCGGGTAGTGGACCCTCCCTCCAGAAAGGTACTTTTAAATAAACAATACATTCCACTATTGCTTGATAGATAAGAGATGTTTTACTCAGTAGACACCAGCTGTGAATACCTTTCGGGTATGCGTCGTAACACGAATGTTTAGGTCAGGATTTTCAAGGCGCAGGGGGAATGTCCATGAAGGAATTCTCTGCAATCTTGTGCAAAGCCTCCCCACAGTTTTCAGTACAGGGGCCTCAGTTCCTCACATCCATCTATAGGACCCAAAGTTCACATGGAAGGAAAATCCAAGCTCATCTCCCTGGACAGCGAGTGGAAAGGCTTTCAACATTACAGCCAAATGATACCACATGTCAACACCGCAATCTATGTATATTAAAACTTCCTATTTTTAGATATTGTTATGCATTGCTATGCTCCCAAAAGCAATGGACCATGAGCATTGAAGGGTCAGAAGCTCCAGTTATAGTAATATCCCTCAAAGTCCATCACTAAACTAACTTAACGTGCATGCAATTATTTTCCCTCTGCATATTGCTTTTCATCACTTAAGCCAATGTCAATTTAAGTGCTTTCCTGCATTAATGGTCAAATAGCAGCCTTAATGTGGATGCACAGACACAACTGTAGCACCAAAGGGATGCAGTAAAATAAACAGACATTCCTATGGTACTAAAAAGGATTAGCAATAAGGGTGACAGACAGCTGAGCGATTTAGGCCCATACCACAGAGAGCCAAAAGATGCATGCCATTGTGTTACAGCCTTTTAATATGCATAAAATAAAATGTGCTTGGATGAAAGTGTATTGATAGGCAGAGGTATTGAATGAATTTGATTTTTTAGGGTACGTTTACAGTTCTATTTAAAGTTGCGTTTTGTAACTTTTCTGTTTTTCTAGGTATTTTTGGGCTATAAAACCACCAGTAATTGAATAAGATAGAATTTAATGTCATACTGTACCTGTAGAAGCAAGCAGGTGACGGACCCACAACCAAAAAGTTACACTGTGCACGTTTAAATAAAAAAAATATATATAAGAAAAATAATAATAAATAATCTACTTCAGCACAATTTGTGGCTACTTTGCCCCCTCCGATCCTAAGTTGTTTCGGTATCTCTTTACTGCACTGAGCACAAACTGATTCCGGATATTAAACTTGACACCGTTGCCATCAAAGCAACATGCTAGTGGGGCACCCTGTTTGCGTTTGCTGTGTATGAATCCCGTCTCTAGGGGGCGAATGTAGCCAAGTGTCTCTCCACAGCGCTGCCATCATTTTCTAAGTGTGGCAGTGCGTTCATCTGGCTCTGCGTGGATATTTATAACCATTCCACTGACCACCCACCCCATGGCCCCCTCTTTCAGCCCTGCATGTGTGCCCCCCACCCCCCTCCCCACCCAACACCACCACCCCTCCCTCACTTGGCCACTGGTGAGCAGTCTAAACAGAAGGCACAGTCTGTCAAAGTTAACCACAGCAAAAGAGAAAGAGGGGAAGCCAGCACACAAACAGTAGCTTCTTTCCAGTCGTGCTGTGTCCCGCAATTGTCCAGCTCTCTTCTCCTCGGGCCTCCTCTTTCTCCCTTAGATGAAGATCATACCTGGTAGGTTCAAACGTATGAACTTGTATCTTTGACTCTTAACCTTGCTCGCTGTCTGGCTGTCTGGTTGTCCGTTTTGTTGTCTGGTAGCTTGGCAAATGCGTAGCGTGAAGTCTTGTGCTCCTGGCCCGCACAAATGTCACACAGGTGTTCACATTTAAGGAACTCTTACCACGGTACAGATTGTTTT